TAGGGTTCTCAACCAAAGCCTTTGGTTCAAAAACCTGAGCGCAAGGCAGCGGGTTTTGGCCCTGGACTACAGAGCCCGTTTTATGAAATGAGCAGCCACCCCTATTCCAACCCCCAACCTGGAGAACCAGGAGGCTGAGTTTGTCTGGCCTCTAACCATTGACCAATCTGGTATGAGTGGCTCTGAAGGTGCAAGAAAAGTACCACCCAGCATAACTCAATGGATCTCTGAGGCACGCAAACCATCGCACCACGGTAAGGTCCAGCCTCATTGCGATGGGCTACCCCTACCAGGTTGGTCAATAGTTAGAAGTCAGAAAAGCTCACTCTCCCGATTCTCCAGGATGGAAGTTGGAAATGGAATGGTGTCCATTTCAGTAAAAGCAAATCATTGCCACCCTCCTGCTGCTTGTGGACAGGGATTTGGGTGAGAACCCTAAATGTTCTCCTGTCTAGGCCTAGGCAATCTGACAGTATCCTACCCACGCTATACTATGAAACTTTCCTCAAACAATTTCCTGATGCTTTGGCTACCACAGAGGATAATCAACGGTGCCCTATTCGCTGCATCGAGCAGAGTGGATAGGGGCTTGGATGCCATTGCTCAAGGCTTTCTGTCTTCTTATCCACTCTCTTAAGCTTTTTCACCTATACGGTCCCGTTCCAACTTCAGTTTTATCCCCGCCCAATTCGTGACCCTCCCCACCGTGTTTTGATAGACAATTATCTTCTAATTTCAACTCACATGCAAACGCGTAGCGTCACACTGGTCCTAAAGACAAGCCCATGTCTAGCCAAGCGGTCAAGCTCAGTTCATCAGCTTCTATTTAAAGTCCCCGATCCTCCCTCAGATTGCCATGCCTCAAAGTACGTACGTTGTTACAGATTGGTCAATTAGCGGCACCTGCCAGAACATTAGAGACCCTCCCAATCGATATCTGTCGTCTATCGGAAACTCGCCTACAAGACCAGAGCTCTCTATTCACTCTCCGATCCCATTCAGGTGGCACTAGCAGTGCTTTCTTATTGCGCCTATCCGGACACGATGCAGCTTCGAGTAGCAGACAAGCCGGCGTTGGTATTGCAATGAGTCACCGGGCTGAAGTTGCTCTGGCTGATTGGATCCCAACCAGTAGCCGGATGTCTGCGGTCCGATTGCCTGGCACGTTTAAAGCTTCGAAGTCGCGCGGGGCTAATAGGTGTCTGTTTGTCATCGCTGCCCACACGCACACAAACTGTGGCGATGACTGGGTAAAAGACGACTACTATTGTCAACTGAACATTCTCCGCCACAGAAGCACGGACACTGTATTGCTGGCTGGGGATCTGAACGCTCAAGTTGGAAAATTGTTCACTGATGAGCTGCATCTGCGCAGCCAACATGTTGTAGGCTTCCGTAATCATAACGGGGAGCGGTTACTTCTTATGTGTGAAGATGCTCGTTTATTTCTTGTGAGCACTAATTTCCGACACAGCACCCGTCGGAAGGTGACATGGCGCTCCTCAGACTCGAACCAGCTTTGGATGCAAATGCATCACATCGCGATAAGTTATCGCTGGAGAGGCTGCATTCAAAACTGTCGCTCGATTTGGAGCACATATGTGAACATTGACCATGCAATTGTATGTGCTGATCCGCGGATGCGTTCTGGCGGTAACCCTTGACGATCCTGTGAGCGCAGACACCAGGCGAAGCCAGATGTTCTGAATGCGTATCGAAGTACGCTAGGGTACGGGTTGAGCATGTGCTCGCTGAATACAGTTGAAGGTCACTGGCCGCATGTTCACTAGACCTTAGTAGAAGCAGATGAACCATCAAGTGGTAAATCCACTAGTCAAAATAGACACTGGGTCGCTTCGCAGTCTCTGGCATTTATCGATGCTGGCCCGCACATTCCGGCTAGAAGCGAAAACAATTAAACTCGCAGAGACCTAAGGACAAAACAGTATGCTACCCTTAAGATAGACCGCGAACCAGTGAGGTCTCATCGTGCGTCAGAAATGGAAGTGGCCGCTGACTTTGGTAACCACATATACACACACTACACGTTAGGTAGAGGAGGGAAACACTTCAGCTACTGTGCCGTAATAATCAGAGAAAAAAGGAATAAAATGCAACAAGTGCAAGCCAGCTGGGTTACCGGCAAAGGATGGACATCGTTCCGGTAAGCTACCTGCCAGCTACTATGCAGCAGAAAATAATAACTTCCTATGCAAAAACATAAAATACTAAATAATGAGATCGTAGTTGGAGGGGGAGGCTAAAAAGGATGGGGTGGGACAAAGAAACTCACAGTGAGAACGCCACTGTCGTCGGTTCCCAGCCATATCAACAAGTGTATCCAGCCAAACGTATTCATCGGCTCTCGGACCCCAACCAAGCAGCCGAGACGCTCCAACTGAGGTCAGCTTCGAAGTGAGGGCATTCATTCCTCTTGACCAAGTCTTCGCCTGGTTGTTTCTCCTATTCTTCCATCCACACCCCGGCGCGCAAACAACGCACGTCGTGGAAGTCGGTGGGCTGGCACGCATAACACGTGGCCGTCATCGGAGCCTGGTGCGTGAAATAACGGTGCTGAGCGGTTCAGTCCCTTTTCCTGGGCCGTAAACAAGGCGTCGAATACGCTCTTTACTCACGCGGTGTTCCCACCAGATGTGAGCCAAAATGCGAAGGCATCGGTGGTCGAACGTAAGTAGCCTCTTTATGTCCGCCGATCTTAGGGGCCAGGTTACACAATCGTAGTTTAGGGTCGAACGTGCGGCTGCGTTGTACACTCTATCCTTCAGAGCGAGAGTGATGTCGCGCCGGCGCCATAAGTAGTTAGCAAAAGCGCCTCGAGCTTTTGCTATACCGTTCGTGATCTCATCTTCAATTCCACGGGCGCTGATACAACTTCCTAGGTAGTTGAATTTTTGAACGACTTCTAGCTGATCCCCACCAAGGGTCAGCGCAGGAGGCGGTTCAGGCCAATCTTGGAGAAACGCTTTGCACTTCGATGGTGCAAAGCAAAGCCCGAAGCGGCTGACAGCCAGTGCTAATCTGTCTAGTGCCGCTTGGCACGTCTGGTAGCTGTCAGATTAGGACGATATCGTCAGCATACTACAAGTCAAGAAGTCGTTCTTCTGGGAGCAGATCCACACCTTCTAAGCCGTGTCCTGTGAACGCGATTTCCATGATGTGGTCAATAGCGAAGTTGAAGAGGAAAGGTGACAGCGGGCATCATTGTCTCACACCGCTGGAGATATTAAAGGGCGAAGACAACTTGCCGTAAGCCCTCACACTACCTGAGCTACGCGCATATAATGCTCGGATAATATTCACATATTTCTTAAGTACACCTTTCTTGAGTAGACAGTCCCAAAGTGCACGTCTTTCCACCGAACCGATTGCACCTTTGATATCGAGGAACACGACAACGGTCGGCCGCCTATATATGTGACGGTGCTCCAACAACTGACCCAAAGTGAAGATGTGGTCAACGCAGCCACGACTTCGACATAATCCGGCTTGCTCCTCACGAATATGGCTTTCACAAGTGCCATTCAGTCTGTGAAGAATGACAGAGGTAAGCAATTTGGAGGCGATGGAGATCAGATTGATTCATCTACGGTTGCCGCATTCCGAAAGCGAGCCTCCCTTGAAAATTGGAACTATGACGGAGCGGCTCCAGTCGGTTGGGACAGTTTCTTGCTCCCACAGTTTGACTAGTAACTCGTATAAATCACCCACAAGAGTAGGTCCCCCGAATTTGAAGAGGGCTGGAGGTAGATCATCTGGTCCCGCAGCATTATTTAACTTCGACAGTGCGATCTCAAGTTCGACTTCTGAGCGAGAGGGTGGATCCAAAGGGACAGCCCACGGAGCAGGGCGAGCACTGGTCGGCGAGAAATCTAACAATTCCGACCAATTAAATTGTCTTTCAAAGTGCTCAGCCCAACGCTCCAAGCGTTATGACAAGTTGTGGATAGGCTGTCCACTCTCGTCACGTATAGTTTCACGAACACCAGGTGTCCTGCTGCCGGTTTCCCGTATCAGCCGGAACAACTTACGATGGTTACTAAGGACATCGGCCATTTCCATCTCTGATGCACGATGAGACCACCAAGATTTGCGGTCCCTCTTCAAATTAGCACGGAGTTTTGCCCGGAGCTCTTTGCGAGTTTCATTGTGTTCGCTTCCAGCTGGAATATGCCGGCAAGCGTCGGTAAGTTCCAGAGACCGCGAAGAGACCCAATATCCATGTTGCCTATTAGACATACCACATGAGGATTTGCCTGCCGCTAGTAAGGTCTAATGAATATGATACTAGTGAGCTTCAATTGCATCCAGTGAGCGCTTACTCAACTCGCATGATAGCGTACTTTGATAGGCATTCAGAACAGCTGGTTTCGCCAGTTGGCTGGTGTCAATGCGCTCACAACATCGTCTTGGGCATACGCCAAAACGCATCCGCAGGTCAGCATATACAAGTGCATGGTCAGTGTCCACACATATGCTCCAAATCGAGTGACAGTTCTGGACGCAGCTTCACCATCAACAACTTATCGCAATGTGATCGATTTGCGTCCATAGCTGGTTCGAGGCTGGTGGGCGCCATGTCACCTTCCGACGGGTGCTGTGTCGGAAATTAGTGCTCACAAGAAATAAGCGAGCATCCTCACACAAATGAAGTAACCGCTCACCGTTATCATTACGGGAGCCTACACCAGATGCAGCTCATCAGTGGATAATTTTCCAACTTGAGCGTTCAGATCCCCGGCCAGCACTACAGTGTCCGAGCTTCTTCTGTGGCTAAGGAGCTCGTTCAGTTGACGATAGAAGGTCTTTTACCGAATCCTCGCTACAGTTTGTCGGTGGATAGGCAGCGAAAACGAATACACACGGAGCGTCCTATCCGCCACTTGGAAATAACGTTCTTTCGGCAGTGTTCAGTTTCAGTTCAGTTCAGATGAGGACTGGAACGATAGGAGAATCCCGTGAGTGTTCCATCTTGAGTGGATGGTTTAGCGGACGACACACATGTAACATCCCCTCACGTGACAGATGGAATCACAGTTGTGAAATGTAACGTTCTATCGGCTTAGGTGAGCGGTGCGGTTTCCGAATAGCAATCGGCTGATCGATTTCTTCCGTTTGGTTTTTGTTTGTCTCCTCCAGATCTTCTGGAACCACTTTCTCTTCCCCAGGGTACGGTGTGACTGGGGTGCGGGGCCGGATGAAATCATTGTGCCTGCGTACTGTCTCTCCACTCTCTAGTTGTATTTCGGCCTCCGTTTCTGAGCTCGTAAGCACGGTGCCAGGCTGCCATAACTGCTCATGTGGTAGTTTCGTGTAAACATCACGTTCCACTATCGACTTCTGGGGCTTAACTGGTGCGCGTCCACTTTCATGCATACGTTGTTGCTGGCAACGCCTGGTCTGACGAGGGTCTGGAAAAAGTAGGTCTAGCCTCGTACGTAGTCGACGCCCAAACATTGCCTCCCCAGGGCTCTTTCCGATAGACTCTAGCGGTGTGATCCGATATGCGAACAAGAATCGGTCAAGTTTGGTTCGTAACGAGCCATTACGCTGCTTTAGAAGACCAGCTTTCACGGTTTGGACCGCTCTTTCAGCTAAACCGTTTGACGCTGGATGGTACGGTGCGGAAGTCATGTGATGAACGCCGTTGCTCTGCAGGTATTCTTTGAACGCTGCACTCGTAAATTGCGGACCGTTGTCAGTGACTAATGTTTTCGGTATGCCATGTGTAGATAGACTAGAGCGTACGCCATTGATTGTAGCTTCTGCAGTAGCGTTTGCAACAACATGCACATCAATCCATTTGGAGTACGCATCTACTAAAAGTAGCAACATTTTTCCTTCGATCGGGCCAAAGTAATCGGCATGGACACGTTCCCATGGGCTGTCGGGCAACTGCCAAGGGTGAATTGGGCCTGTTGGATTATCTCTTTGATATTTTTGGCATGTGTTACAAGTACTCAAAAGTGCTTCGATGTCTCGGTCAATCGCTGGCCACCAGCAGTAGGATCTGGCGAGGGCTTTCATGCGGACAATACCTGGATGTGCATCATGTAATTCTTTCAGTACAGCTGACCTGAGAGTCAATGGAATAACGATGCGAGATCCACGTAGGATACATCCTTCATGCAGGCTCAGCTCAAATCTACAATTGAAAAACGGACGCAGATCACCAGGGGCTCGCGAACCCCAGCCACGCAGCAGCATACGTTTCACAGTCGATAGAACGGGATCTCTGTCTGTAGCTTTCCTAACCATGTCGCCAGATATGGGTGTAGTATTCAGGTGTTGCAAAAGTTGAACAAACTCGTAGGGCGCGTCACTTCTTTCCTCCTGTTGGTCAATCTGTGGCAATCTACTGAGCGCATCAGCGACATTATTGTGAGGACCGGCAATGTATCGGATTTGATAATTGTAAGCAGAAAGTAGGAGGGCCCAGCGTACCATTCGGGGTGCGTTAAGTTGTTCTATGCCTCGTTCCTTACCGAGAAGTGATAACAGTGGTTTATGGTCAGTCTGTATCTCAAACTGGTTGCCCCACAAGTACTGATGGAACCGCTTTACTCCGAATACTACGGCCAGTGCTTCCTTGTCTAATTGTGCGTAATTTTTCTCAGCAGGTTGTAATGTGCGGGACGCGAAAGCAATAGGGCGAACTGTTCCGTCGTGGACTTTATGTCCCAGCACTGCCCCGACTCCAAAAGGTGAAGCATCACACTGTAGGATGAGGGGTTTGTTGGGGTCGTAATGTACCAAGACTGGTGAAGAAGCAAGGAGACCTTTTGCCCTGTCAAATGCTTGTTGCTCTTCCTCGCCCCATGCCCACTTAGAATCTTTTTCAGCAAGTTGTGAAGTGGTGCTAGAACAGAAGCAAGATTAGGTAGGAACCGACGATAATGTGAAAGCATTCCAACGAACGAGCGTAACTGGGCTCCGTTACGAGGTGAGGGTGCAGAAATAATGGGTTGTAATTTATCTTTCCGCGCGTGTAAACCATGCTTGTCCAGTCTATAACCGAGGTAGTCAACTGAATCAACTAGGAAAGCACATTTGGAGCGTTTCAAACGCAAACCGTGTTCAGAGAGTTTATGCAACACCCGGTCCAACGTGTACAAGTGCTCCTTTTCTGTGCGACCCGTGATAAGGATATCATCGAGATATGCGCAAGTGTTCGGTATGTCACGCACGATATTGTCAATTATCCTTTGGAAGATCGCCGGCGCTGAGTTAATCCCGAAAGGCAGTCTAGTGTATTCGAATAGCCCCAAATGTGTACTGATCGTCGTAAGACGTCGGGAGGTCTCATCCAACTCTACCTGCGAATAGGCGTGACTCAAATCCAATTTAGTGAACTTGACTCCTCCAGACAAGTTGGCATACAAATCCTCAATTTTCGGTAATGGATAACGGTCTATGATGGCACCTCGATTTACTGTAAGCTTATAATCACCACAGATTCGTACGTTACCGTCGGGCTTAAGTACAGGCACTATCGGGGCCGCCCATTCAGCTTGTTGGACTGGTACAATTATACCTTCTCTTTGAAGCCTTTTCAGCTCGTCTTCCACTCTAGGTCGTAAGGAATAGGGCAGTGTTCTGGCCTTAAAGAACTTTGGTGTACTTGAGTCTGACATATGGATTTTTGCTTTAAAATTATTGAGTCTGCCCAATTGCTGCTCGTCAAACACTTCTGGATATCGTTTAAGGACCGATTCAAAGGTATCCTCCCCCACGGAGTGGATAGTATTTAATACTTGTGGTAACATTTTCATCCAATCGCGACCAAGCAAATTGACTGGAGCCTGAGGCACGACATGAAGTACCAGACTGTGTGATCTACCCTGATGCTGCACTCGTACCTGACACTTCCCAAGTAAATCAATCACTTCTCCTGTATAGGTTCTAAAAACGGTATCAGTCGGTTCCAGGTCGGGTAACGATGAGAGCGCGTTTTTACTAATCAATGTCACCGCGGAACCAGTATCCAATTCAAATAAAACAGGTTCGTTATTAACATGAAGCGTGATCCTATATGGAGACACTTTCGTCATAACTGAGCAGTTTGAAATTATATGGTTCATAAAATTTAGCTGGGAATCTGGGCACTCACCGTCGTCGGAGTTCAATGATTTGATCGAGACTTGTGACCGTGGGGAACGGCAAACACGTGCCAGGTGGCCAAGTTTTCCGCAATTTCTGCACTTTGTGCGAGTATGAGGACACTGGGTGGGAGAAGTGTGCTGATCCCCGCATCGGTAGCAGACGAACTTCCGTACCCTGTTTTCAGAGGATAACCGTGGTGACAGTTTGTTTACACATTCCACAGGCTGAGGAGGGTTGAAGGTGGATAGTTGGGATTTTAGGTTTTCCCTTTGACGTACAAGGTTACACGCCATTTCCCAGGAAAGGGTTTCTTCCTCCTGTGACAATAATTTTTCCCTCGCACCATCATCTGTAACTCCACCAATTAGGCACTGGATTTTCATGACTTCTTCAAACCGACTTGAGGGAATGGTATTGTACCGGCATTCCGGTGTAGCTTGATGAATGCGGGCAATGAAATCATTTACACTTTCTCCGCATCGTTGCTGTAGCTTGAAAAACTGATAACGAGCGGAAAACACACTTTGTTGGATTCCCCACAATTCCTCAAACAACTGGATCACGTGCACAATACTGGTCTTAGCCATCAAGTTCATAGCGTCAAAATGACGTTGTCCTTCTGATCCAAGGGCTTGGCGGAATAACATAATCCAATGGGTATCGGATAACACGATAGAGGGGTTTAACACAGGAAAGAGAGTCATTTGATGTTGGAAAGATGTTTTCCACTGTATCCACGACTGTAGAGAGGGTTTTTCTGCACCATCAGGCCACAGACATGACAGTCCTGAGACAGGAATTGATGAAGTGCTCAGTTATTGATGGATCTATAACGGAAACACCCGTATCACACCCTGGCCAACCAGTTAATGCCCACGTTTCCTGCCCTAGCAGTCCCTGCTGTGGCAGTCACGTGAAGTAAGCAAAGGATAGGAAGAGAAATCGAAGGTACAGAATAGGGAAGTGCACTTAAATAAGAAAATAATACCAATACGTAAAGAAAAGAAAATCGAAGTACGAAGATGCAAGTTACTCAGGAAAATGGAAAGGTTTCGTGTTGCCACCCAAGAGCGTCAAGTTGCCGCTCAAACCCCTTAACCGTAGATTCCCTGATAACACTTTCCGGAAGCATGTTCCAGCGGTCGATGACTCTGCGTGACAGCCGGATTTCCGCCCTAATCCGATCGGACCGCGGTTTGTCCAGCTTCAACGAATGACCGCGTAGAACAGACAATCTAGCGGGACTGAATAGCCAAGATAAATCTGGACCAACCTTCCCAGTCAAGATACGGTAGGTTAGGATTAGGTCTCCTCTAAGCCTTCGGTAGTGCATTGAATGCATTCCCAAACTAAGTAGACGCTCGGGGTACGTCCGTCCCCGTAATCCCTCGACTAACCTAGTACCCACTCGTAAAACCCTCTCTAGCTCCACTTTTGTCCCGGACGAGGCAGGGCGGACAAGCCTGGACGCAGTATTCCAGATGAGGCCGAACGAAAGCCGAGAACAGCCTCGTAAAGATGCCGCCCGTCAAGACTCCGAAAGAACGTCGGATTAACCACAACATGCGGAAACCTCTGCTTGCGGCCTTCTTCCAGTTGTCGCCGGAGTGTAAAGCCGAAGAGTGTACGACGCCTAGGTCAACCTGGCTAGATACACGGGGGAGTTCGACCCCACCGACCAAGTACTTCGCAGGAGGACAACCTCCTCCAATTCGAAGAACGGAGCACTTTGCCTGATTTATGGGCAGTAACCATAAAGTAGACCAGTCCCAAAGCTTATCCAATGCTCGCTGAATAGCTTCGGAACCCCCAGGAACATCAACAATGTTCCACAGCTTCAGGTCATCAGCAAATAGCAGCGATGGTACCTCAAGCTCCGCGGGTAGGTCATTCACATAGATAGAGAACAACAGCGGTCCAAGGACCGAGCCCTGCGGCACGCCGCTGAGGACAGACTGCCTAAATGATAGGCCCCGGCCTACCCGTACACACTGTTCTCTACCCTCCAAGAAGGCAGTCACCCAATGAAGGGCGCGGCCAGATACCCCGTAGGAGGACAGCTTTTGCGCGAGCCTCAAATGTGGTACCTTGTCAAATGCCTTCGAAAAGTCGACGAAAAGCACGTCCAGTGTGTGGCCGTTATCCACTGCATCCGCCCAATTTTCGCGAGCCACCAACAGATTCGTCAGACACGAAAATCCCTTCCGGAATCCGTGTTGTACATTGCTAAGTAGATTAAATCTACTCAGATGACTCTCCAATGAATCTCTCACCAGTTTCTCGAGGAGTTTGACTACTACACTCGTCAGACTAACTGGCCTGTAATTTGCAGGAAGACCCCTGTCCCCATGTTTGAAGATGGGACAGATGACAGCTTCCTTCCATTCGGAAGGCAATGCACAGCTGTCAAGCGATTTCTGAAACACAATAGCGAGCGGTCCACTTAGTTCCGCAGCCAACTCATGCAACAG